CACGGCTTCACAGTGCGCTTGCAGGCTGTCCCTAATTTTCCCTGAATTTTTTCCGGGGAACTGAAACGCACTACTGGTACCTGCACGTGTTCCAAAAAAACCTAAATTAGGCTCAGGGCCCCTTTCGGCCAATATCGCAACTCCGGCACGGCGGCTCCGCCGTGCTCCGGCGACGGCGTCGCCGCTTGCGGCGGCGGTTTGCCTCGGGTTGGCCGTTTTCGGCCGTTTCCGGCCGAATTCGGCCACACTCGCATTACTTCCTGCGATAAAACAACACTACGGCCCTCGGGGGGCCGAAAATTTACGGAAAACCGAAGCTTACCGGCGGCGGTGCTCTCGGGTGCGGCGGCTCTCCGGTGAAGTTCGTGTTTTGGTGATTCGGCTCCGATCAACCTGTAGAGAAAAGAATGGTGATCACGGTGATATAAAAATTGCATTAAACGGAGGCCGGGAAGGGCCTCATCGGAGGCAAAAACCGAGAAGGGGCGCGACAGCGCCGCTGGGTTTCGACCGTGTTTTCCGGCCGTTTGGCCGGGATTTTGGCTCCGATTTGGCCACTGGGGAAATCAGCGAGGAAAAACGAGTCGGGGGTATGAAATTTACCTCGATCGGCGGTCGAAAATTCCTCCGGTGCGGCGGCGGGTGGCGGCGGCCGGCTTCTGGTTCGTCTTCTCCGGCGAGGGCAGGCGGCTAGGGTTTGGGGTCTGGTGTGGGGGTCTTATTTATACCCTTTTTGCCTTTTGATCTCAGCCGTCCATTTTGTTTTAATCTGGGCCGTCCGTGCGATTAAATCTGGGCCGTCCGTGCGCGTGATTGATCTGGGCCGTCCGATCGCGCGCACGCGGATCGCCAACGTGGCCCGTCCCCGTTGTGAATTTTTCTTATAATAAATGAATTTACTTAAATCAAGAGCTCCATTAGTAGTTTTTATGATTTTTACCAACTTTCAGTTTCTGTATCGATGAGTAGTATGATATTCTTACTGGGGTAGTGTTGCTTACCATTTTATTAACTATTTCAGATCAAGAGGATCAAGACTCAGATTCCAATCAACAAGAAAGTTGTGAATAGTTCACCACCCGCACTCCCTTTAAAAGCTAGTGAAGGTCGTCCTAAAATGTTCAGCATATTGCCTTTTATTTATTTATTTTTATTTTTATTTATTCTTTTATAAGAGTCATTCCTGTAGTTCTATTGGACATTCTAAATTATTATGTAAGGAATGTAAACCCTAAATTCTATTATTTTGCTTTTGCACTTAATTTATGAC